TAGAAGGGTATGACTATGAAACTTATATGCTTCTTTATATTAAAAAGAGTTATTTTGCTAAGGGGTGGGGAGAGGGTGGCACATGCCTTGTGGTTAGATTCATACATAATATGGGGGCTTGAGAAGTTTCAACTCTTTTTGTAAGCAGGGGTCATAACTTTCACAACATATAGATAGGACTTGTTCAGTTATTTTGTTCAGTCATGTCAGACTCTTTGTGACCCCTCTTTGAAGGGTTTTCTTGACAAAGATTCTGGAGTGGTTTACCATTTCCTTCTCCAGCTCATTTTACAGATGACGAAACTGAGGCAAACAAGGTGAAGTGATTTGTTCATAGTCACACAGCTAATAAGTATCTGAGGCCAGATTGAAACTCAGGAAAATGAGTCTTTCTGCCTGCCACCAGAACCTGCACTCTGTGCACTATGGCACCACCTAGCTGCCCTAAAAGAAGCAGTAGAATCACTGTTGAGGTGGATGGTTAGCAGGGGAGTCTTGGTACTTCCTGATCGACTGATTTACTCTTCCACCCTTACTCTCCAGCTCAATTGATATTTATAGAAACTAAAGGAAAGATAACAGAGTTAATGAAGTTTTAATATGTTAAATCACACATAAATTTAAAATTTGAAGTTGTAGAAAGTAAAGGGAAAATAGCAGCGTTAATGAAATTTTAACATGTGAAACTAAGTGCAAAAGCACATCTACTCCCTGATATCTCTTTAAGAAATATTTTTTTAAAAAATAAATGTTTTCCTAATTGCATTGGAAAGGGAATAAGGGAATAAGCATTAATTAAGCACCTACTATGGGTCTGGCACAGAATAAAGGGCTAAGTACTTTACAAATATTATCTTATTTGATCCTCCTTGAGTAAGAACTATGATTATCCCCATTTTACAGCTGAGTAAACTGAGGAAGACTGAGGTTAAGTAACTTGCCCAGGGTCACACAGTGTTTGAAGCCAGATTTGGACTCATGTGTTTCCAATTCTAGGTCCAGCACTCTATATGCTATACTACCTCACTGACTTTAAATTGGAAAGGGAATTTGACCCTGGCAGATCCAGAGACTGCACACATACCTGGTGGACCTAAAAGAAGCAAGCTTGCCAGCTCTATTTATTAAAAAAAAAAAAACAGCTCTCAAGGAGGCATGCTGAGCTGAAGGAGAGAAGGCCTAGAGAAGCCATTGGAAGCTAGGAGAGTGGGCACTCAAACTGATGGGGCATAAGGACTCCAAAAGTGGGGAGGCTAGGTATGCATGCTGTCAGTGCAGATTGTGGTCTGAGGGCCCCCACAGGAAAACTCCAAGGCAATAATTCCTTATTTCCTTTCTTTTCTTGGGAACCTAAAGCCTTTCCTCTGGGCACAGGAAAAGTCTGTTTTTCTTTGTTTTTAATATTTGCTTTGTTTTTTAAGCTGGTAGTTTAAATGGTGTTAACAACAAATATTTGCTCATTTGGATGTCCTTATTGAGAAACAACTGGATAGAGGCTATGGAAGGTAATATTCTGGGAGGAGGGCCAGGTAGATGGTGCAGTGGACAGAGGCACATAATAAATGCTAATTCCTTTCCAAGGCAGCTAGGTGGCAAAGTAGATAGAGAGCTCGGCCTCACTTTCTGAGTTCACCACGAGCCTCAGACGTTAGCTGTTTGATCCTGGGCAAGTCACTTAATCCTGTTTACCTCAATTTCCTCATCTGCAAAATGAGCTCGAGAAGGAAATGGCAAACCACTCCAGTATCTCTGTCAAGAAAACCCCCAATGGAGTCACAAAGAGTCGGACACAACTAAAAAACAACCAATGGAGAACAGGAGAGGCACCACAGACTAGAGAAGGGGAAATATTGCCCCCATTTTCACAGAGAGAGAGAGAGAAAGAGAGAAGAGAATCTGCAAGCTATGAGCCAATGAGCTTAAGTTCTTTATGTCTGGAAAAATCCTAAATCATTAAAGAGATTATTAGGGAACATCTAGAAAAGGAAGTAAGTGAATACCAGGAGCCAGTGTGTATAACTCCATCAAGAGTAAGTCATGCCACACTAACCTTATTTTCTTTTTTTGACAGGGTTAGTAAAATAGCACATAAGGAGAATGCTTTAGATACAGTTTGCTTAGGTTCTAGCAAGTCATTTTGTAAAGTAGTTCATAGAATTCTTGGAAAAGGTGGAGATAAGTGCATGAAATGACAAGATGATTGTCTAAGACCAGCTTCTGACCATGCCCAGCTCTAACATGGAGCTGTTTCTGAGGGGTCTCTTCAAGCATGCTCAGTTTGCCTGACATGGAGCCCAATGCATCCACATAGGTGGGGTAGTCTCATTTGATTGAATGGCTGCCTGTGTCTTTAAAACTGAGGAAACTGGGAGCAGCTAAGTAGTGCAATGGATAGAGCACCAGCCCTGAAGTCAGGAGGATGTGAGTTCAAATCTAGCCTCAGACATTTACTAGCTGTACGACCCTGGGCAAGTCACTTAACCCCAATCGCCAAAAAAACAACAACAACAAAAAAAATCACTGAGGAGACTGAGCCATTCATTCTCTTTTCTGCCATCTTGTGAGGCTTTCTTTGCCCTTTTCTTCCACTCTTTTTGGCTCATCTTTTCCACCATTCTCTTTTCAGAAGCCTGGTTACAGATAAATATATTCAGAACTGGTTGAATGGCCAGACTCAAAGAGTAGTTGTTAATGGTTCAAAGTCAACATGTTGGAATGTCTCCAATGGAGTATGATCTGGGGTGTCAATGATTTAGAGAAAGGGATAGATGGTGGCATAGTGGCAGCTACGTAGTACAACAGATAGAACAATGGTTTTACAGTCAGGAACACCTGAGTTCAAATCCAGCCTCAGACATCTACTAGCTGTACAACCCTGGGCAAGTCACTTAACCCTTATTTGCCTCAGTTGTTCATCTGTAAAACGGGGACACATTGGAGAAGGAAATGGCAAATCACTCCAGTATCTTTGCCAAGCAAACCCCACAGAAAAAAAATCCACGGGATCACGTAGAATTGGACATGACCGAAGGACAGAACAACAACAATAATAGATGGTGGCATTGGTGTTGAGTTATTTCAGTCTCGTCTGATTTTTCATGACCCCATGTGAGGTTTTCTTGACAAAGATATTAGAGTGGTTTGCCCTTTCCTTCTCCAGTTCATTTTACAGATGAGGAAACTGAGGCAAACAGGGTTAAGTGACTTGCCTGGGGTCACACAGATAGTAAGTGTCTGAGGCAGGACTTGAACTCAGGTCTTCCTGACCCCAGGCCGGATGCTTTATTCACTGCACCACCTACTGCCTCTATCCTTCTTTTATACTTGAGGAATTTGGGAAAGATAGAAGTGAAATGACTTACCTGGGGTCACACAGTTACTAAGTGTTTGAGGCTGGATTTGAACTCTAGGCCCAGCTTTCTATCCACTGCCCCATCCAGATGCCTCCAGGAGCAATGGGTAGGCATTGCAAAAAGGACGTTTTAAATTTGGTATCAAGAAAATTTTCTAACAATTAGTTATACAAAAAGTGGGATGGCCTGCACCAGGAGGAATTTGGTATCCCTATCTGGCAGTCTTCAAGCAGGGGTTAAATTATAGAAAACTCCCTATCGGGTCCAGCCTCTGCAGAGGATTCCTGTTGGATCTAAGTTGGAATGGATGGTGCTGAGGTTCCTTCCTATTCTGAAATTCTGTGATTCAGTCATAATGATACTTTGCACAGATAACACTGTACAACACTGAGTGACGCCCTCTCCTGACCCCTGCCCGGTCCCTACTCCTCTAGGATTTTTATCTTGCCTTTGGGTCCTCACTGGAGCACATCTGCTCCCTTCCTCTAATCTTAAAACAAGAGACTTTAGTCACCCTCCCTGATGATCCTTTGTTTAAGACAAAGATTACCTCCCCTCCCACTGAGCCAGGGTGACTCACAACTTTAAAAACCACAAGATACACCAGTTGAAGCAGCATCTCTCAGAGAGAAGAGCTCTGGATTTGGAATCTGGGTTCCAATCCTGACTCCTTCATTGCTCCATTGAGCAAGTCATATAATGGCTTTGGGCTTCAGTTTCCTCATCACGACTTCTAAAATCCCTTCCAGGTCCCTTCTAAAGCTATTTTCCCAAGATCTTCATTCTCACTCACAGAACAGCTGCCTTCCTTCCTCTCTTCCTCCCTCTTCCAGCTCCTGAAACACCTTCTCTTCCCGGCTTGATTCAGTTTCTGCTCCCAGTGTCCTTCCTCCTCAGTACTAGGATCTAGGGCTCTGACTGGCAGGATTATTTACCTTCTACTGTCTGTGGGGTCAACACGTACAGGATGTAGGAAGCCGGCGAGAAACAGTTGTCTGAAAGAGATCTGTGGGTGTCAGGAGACCGCAAGCTCATTGTGAGTCAACAATGTGACACCCCCATAGCCAAAAAAAAAAGTTTCCACAGTCAGACTGGTCCAGAACTCCCAGGACAGGAAATCTCCCCTATCATACTAGGAGCTCCAGAGGGTGGGTCTCCTCTGTCAGACTGAGTTTTCTGAGGCCTGAAAAATCTCTCTTCTTGCTTCTAGAGGCCCAGGTTCTGCCCACAGGTGAGCATTCAGTGCAAGATTAGTAGGAACCCCAAAGATAGGAAGTTACCTTATTTATACCCCTGTATCAGTGTAAATAAAAAAATAACAAGAGCTCATGAAGTGCTCTCCCCAAAACAACCCTTTGAGGTAGGTAGTGCAAGTGTCATCAACATTTTACAGATGAGAAAACTGAGGCTTTGAGAGGTTGTCACTGGCCCATGGCAAGTGGTAAAGAACTGCCTTTCCCTACCCCTACCCTTGTATCCCCATCCCATCTCCCTGCTAAATAAGCAATGCCTGGTTCCAGATCCACCTTGTTTTTGTTTTACAAACTGGAATATCTCCCCATGCCCAGCCCTGGTCTCTAACTGAAAAATATTCCCAGGTCCGTAACCTTTCGGGATTACAAAAGTAATTTTCTCAGAACAATCCTGTGAGGCTGGCATTGCAACTCTTATTATCTTCATTTTACAGGGATGGAAACCTCTTTTCAGAAATGTAAAATGGCTTGCCCGTGATCAAACAGTTATAGAATGCCAATCAAACCCAGACTGAAAAAGCAGCTCCACTCCCAGCGTCCCATATGGCCTGGTAACCCACAGGTACTGGCATCCTGAGGCCCCCCGGGGCCGCCGTGGCAGGAAGAAGTCAGGAGGAATCGGTGCATCCTTCAGTACGGGCCATTTGCCCGGCAGTAGTGGGCACACAGCTGCCGGTGGTACTGTAGGTGATAGTCCTTCATCACCTTGCCCACAATGTAGATAAATTCATCAAAGCAGATCTGGTTGTCTTTGTCCTTGTCGGCCACTTGAAACAGCTGCTTCAAATATTCTGGCTGACTCCGGCCCTGGAGCAGAGCAGCGGGAGTGATTGATCAGCCGGGGATCATCAGAATGACAGACATTAACACCACTGTCTCTACCATGCTCTACTTTGCTCAGATTGTCCCAAGAATCCACAAAGGCAGGTAGTACGAGGATCATTACCCCTGGTTCAATGAGGAGGAAACTGAGGCTCAGAGAGAGGTAAGGTGGTTTTGCCCAGGTCAATCAGTGAACAATTATTAAGCACCTACTGGGTGCCAGGCAGGAAGGCTGCTAAGCTCTAGATCCCACAACTAGCAACTGGCAGAACCAAGAGCCAGACCCAGGTCTTTTAGCTCCAGAGTTTTCCACCATGCCAGTGACTATGCCTGCCCTATGTCCAGGCCTATTCTAGTCTCTTCTAGAAAAGACTAGATTTAGGGTCCCTGCCCTCAAGGAACTTCTACTCTAATGAAGTAAATGAAACAGGCCTTTGGTGTTTAGTCTTTTCAGTTACATCTGACTTTTTGTGACCCCATTTGGGATTTTCTTAGCAAAGGTACTGGTGTGGTTTGCCATTTCCTTCTCCAGCTCATTTGACAGATGAGGAAACTGAGGCAAATAGGGGTAAGTGACTTGCCCAAGGTCACACAGCTAGTAAGTGTCTGAGGCCATATTCAAATTCAGGAAGAGAGGGAGAGTACTGGGAAGCAAAGGGAGACAATATTGGTTGGGTAGAAGCATTGTGGCCTAGTAGATAAGGCACTAAACCTGCAGCTGGGGTGATCTAGGTTCAAATCTCCCCCCCCTTAGACATTTAGTTTGACCTTGGACAAGTCATTTAACCTTAACTGTACAATAAGGTCATTGCACTAGATGGCTTCTAGGGTCCCTCCAGCTTTTAGATCTAGGATCCAAAAACAGAATTAGAATGGTCTAGGATAGGATTGGGTAGCTAGGTAGGAGAAAGCTAGGTGGCACAGCGAATGGAGCACTGGGCCTACAGTCAGGAAGACCTGAGTTCAAATCTGGCCTCAGATACCCACTCGCTGTGTAAGCAAATCACTTGACCTATTTGCCTCAGTTTCCTCATCCGTAAAGTGAGCTGGAGAAGGAAACGGCAAACCACTCTTTGGGCAAACCCCAAAAATGGGGTCATGAAAAGTTCAGACACTACAGCAAAGGGCCTTAAAAGCCACACCTGACCTTAATACTCTAAGACTTGAGGCAGACAAGAGGAAGACCAGTAACAGGATAACAAGGAGGTGTGTCAAGGAGTTTAGCCATGAAGAGTCACAGCAAGAAAGCAGGAGTGTGGTGACAGGCAGAATCCCTAGAGGTTTGTGTCACCGGTAACAGAAAAACATGCCCTGGTTCTCCTCCCCATTCTTGGCCAGTGCTGGCTATCTGCATCCTCTCCTACACTTCTGCCTCCTCCCCGAACGTCTGTCTGGTCTGATCAGCTATGAATGTGATGGCTTCCTCTCAACCCACCCACAGCTCACTCCTGAGGTGGCATTTCTATTGTTCTCAATCTGACTCTCTGGCCCCATTATGTAATAATTCCTGCTCCCAACCCCACCTTTAAGATTCACCTCCTCTGATCTCTTAGTATTATCATTCTGTTATCTCTGTGTCGCGTTTCATAGACAGACACATGTATCTTTCCATCTGTCTATACATATCCTTTGTGTATGTGTGTGGTTTTCTTTTTTTCTAGTGTGCATTAATTATTTTTTCTTTTTATATTAATTTTCAATTCATGGAATAAAATAAGCATTTCCATAACCTAGTACAATAAAAAAAAATGATTGAATGTGAAACTGCAGATCTACCATGTACAGCCTGCTATTGTTTCTAAATATACAACAAAGTTGTCTTGTAAATTTCTTTTTTTTCCCTTTTTTTCTTCCCTCCCTCACTACCCTAGAGATGGCTACCTTTAGATACAAATAGGTATATATATGTATGTATGTATATGTATGTATGTATATGTATATATGTGTATATATATACACATATATATACATATATACATGTGTGTGTGTGTGTGTATGAAAAGCATGAGTAATTTGACCCTTAAATGATAAGGACCAGCCCACTGTAAGCCTGGAGGTAAAGGGACTTCCCTGACTGTGGTAAAGTGGATAGAGCATTGGATTTGAGTTTAAAACTTACCTGGGACAACTTACTAGCTGTGTTAGCCTGCCTGGGGAGGTCATCTTATGTCTGCCTCCCTCAGTTTCCTCATTTGTAAAATGAGGACAATAATAGCATCTACCTCCCAGGATTGTTGTGAGGATCAAATGAGATAATATTTGTAAGCGTTATATAAATGCTAGCCATTATTATTCCCTATCCAGGACTCTCAGAGCTGGCACTCCCAGCCAGTCTGTGCCTCCCCCCACCCCCCACTTCCTTTGCCTGAAAGTGAGAGAAAGAGGCTTAAAATGGATGCTATAAGGTAGATGGTTATAAGGTTTTCCTGGCAGGAACACTTCTGGAAAGGTTAGTTAACTTCTAAAAGCCTCTGGGCAGTAGGTAAGAGGTCAGGAAACTAAATAAATATCCTGTGACAGCTGGCAAGACTGCAGGCAGTTCCTGAAGAACCTGCTCATTAGCTTAATTAAGGAGCTGAGCTGGACTTGGCTTGATGACAGAACAAGAGTGGAAGGAGACTGAAGGAAATGGAGATTGGAAATTGGTGCTAAGTTCAGTAGAGACTTCCATGGGTGGGGGAGAAGGGTGGCCTTTAGGGTTAGTTAGTCTGTGCTCCTAGAGTTAGGGGGTGGTTGGGCCAAGGAAGAAGGGGATGAAGGAAGCCAGGACTGCCCCCAGGTTCAGGAATAGTAGGAATATCCCTAAACCAATCTTCTCCTTCCCCAGGCCCTCAGATAGGAATGTCTCGTCCCTTTCCTGGGAGCTCTGAGAGCAGAGAGAAAAAGAGATTCCCTAATCCTTTCCTATACCTATCCCCATCTCCTTCATATTCCCCTCCCCTCCAGGGAAGAAGAGCTCTTGGCTGCGTTTAGAGTCTGGCTAGGGAGCTGGCTGAGAGGTTTGGTGGTCCCAGAAGGAGGGGATGGAACTCAGCGGAGCCTGTATTTGAATTAAGAGTCGGGAAAGGGCAGGGATTTCAGGCCTAGCAGGCTGGGCCTGGGGGCACGAACAAGACAAAGGTTTAGATTTGAGGTTAAGGGCAAGGATGAGCAGGGGCAGGAACTGGTATAGAATTAGAATCAGGATAAAGGGCCTGGTCAGGTTTAAGAGTCGAGAGTGGGACTAGGGCACATATTCACAGCTTATGCCCACCAGGTTGAGATCTCATGAAGAGCAACTTCATTCCCCCAACCCCTCTCTATTCACCCCTAGCTTTCCCCATAACCCTCCAAGGTAAACCTTCCTATAGTCAGAACTAACCTGGAGGTCCCATTCTAAATGCACCATTCCCTCTACCCCTAGGGATCTGACCCCAGAATCCCCTGGCATCTCCCCAGCCATACCAGACCCTCCATGAATCGGGGCATGTTTTCTGTGAGCAGGGCATCGAGCTCGTCCAGGCTTAGGGTGTCCACATCCCCCTCTCTGGCAGCATAGAGGTGGTAGCAATGAATGATATGGAAGATAGAGTCTTCTATTGGGGTGTCAGGCATGTTCAGTGAAGGCTGATTTCGGGATCTAAGTCAGAGGAAAGTCCTAGGAGTAGAGAGGAGAGGGGTTGAAAGAGAAGAAAGGACAAAAAGAATGGGTAATATGGCCCCTTAGGGAAAGTGGGGACCAGAGGAGACCATGGAAAGAGAGGGAAGCCTGGTTTGACAAATATACTAGAATTGGCCCTTCCTCTGATGATCCACCGTCTCCTCATTCCAGGCCCTCCCTTCCTCCCACTGTACATCCATCATTTCCGTCCTTCTATGCCTCGTGGAAAAAAAAAAAGACCTTCTTCAGGAAGCCAATCCAAATTAATCTCATCATAGTCCACTCAGTGGACCCAGGGACACTCTAATCCTCTGCTTCTGTTTCTCACTCTCTGTCTCTCATCTCAGACTGTCCTCAGTCTCCTCTCCCCCATTAGACTAGAAGCTCCCTGAGGACAAGAATTGTGTTTTTTCCTAAGTGATTGGGAATTCCTTGAGGACAGGGGCTATTTCCCCCATCAGACCTGGAACTCACCAAGCATCTGCTAGGTGGTGACAGTGTATACGGCACTGGAGTCACGAAGATCTGATTTCAAATCCAGCCTTCAACACCTACCAGCTGTATGACCTAGGCAAGTCATTCTCTGCCTGCCTCAATTTCCTCACTGTAAAATGATGGTAATAACAGCCCCCACCACCGAGGGTTTTTATGAGAATCAAATGAGATGGTTTTTGTAAAGTGCTTAGCACAGTACCTTGTGCAACATAACTAACTCCTGATCAGTCCTCAACAATGAACGCGAGACTATGAATAGGGTCAGCTCTGACACTGATACTTGGCTAGCTCTCCCTGGAAGGTCCCTATGTACCACTCCCATCAAGGTCTTGGATTTTTAGGCCCCTGAATTACTCAACTACATTACCTACACAGATGCACAGTGTAGATGGCCTATCTCCTCTATAGGGGTGCTACACACACCCCCATGAAAGTAAGCAATTGTCCAAGTTTGGCTTTTGGGGGTAGCAAAGACACACAGCATAATCTAATCCCTGAACAGCACCCTACCATCCCCACCAGGAGTATATCCTTGTCCCCAGGCCATATCCTCCTCCCAGCAGCTCCCCCCACCATGGCCCTTCTTAAAGGAGACACTGACCTGACTCCTGGAGTGGCCAGAGATGAACTCTGAGCCTGTGACCTGGCCTCAGTCCCCTACCGATCCCAGGCAGGTGGCAGCTCAATGAGCAGTGGTGGCATCCCTGAGCCCAGCAGCCCTTATGACCTCCAACACTATTAGCCAGCTGAGAGCTATGACTCTTGCTTTGAATAATACCTCTAATTACTTGTCTCAGATGACATCACAAAAACACCTGATTTCTGGACTGAGCAGCCCTTATGACCTCCAACACTATTAGCCAGCTGAGAGCTATGACTCTTGCTTTGAATAATACCTCTAATTACTTGTCTCAGATGACATCACAAAAACACCTGATTTCTGGACTGAGCTCATCTGGTTTCAGGGACCCACCTTATCTTAAACTCACCAACATCCTGGCAGATTCTTAAAAGGACTCACCCCCACCAAAGGATGATACTTTCAAATGCTGTCAGCTCAAGAATCTTTCTTGTGGGTAAAAGGAAATTTATCCATACATTAAAAACAAACACACCCTCCCTGCATCTCCCTCCCACTTCCCCTCCCCCTTTCCCACATCATCTTCCAAGCCTACCCATTAGGAAATCCTGTCTGGAATCTAACTTGGCAAGGAGGATAAGGAGACAGCTAAGGGACAAATTACTGGACTGAGGAATAGGGTTTGGGATATGGCTAAATGCGTCTAAAGCTTGAGGAAAGGTAGGAAGGAGAGGAGGAGAAGATAGGAGAGACAAGAAACAGAAATCAAAATTATTGGTCCAGCTTCAAAAATCATACGATTCTAAAGTATGAGGCAGTAGTCTCTCAAGTTGGAATTGTGTGTCCCACCTTCCCATGATAGCCACTCATGGGCTCATCTTTAGCATAACTAAACAGACCCCGAAAGCCATTGTTGATGAATACTCCACCATACTCCCCCTCACCACTGGTCTTCCCTGGCTCTGGGCCCTTCAGGGCTACTATAGGCAGAGAGGGCAGGCTGAGGCAGGGCGGGCAGGGGAAGTGGACCAACTCTGTAGAGGACAGTGGTCAGTGAATAAGGACCCCACCTTTTCATTTTCAGTGAGATGAATTATACCAGAGGAGCAAGCATGAGTGGGTTGCTATTTGTATCAGAGAGTTCATTAAAGCCTGACTTAGACCAGACTGATGGTTTGGGTTCAAGATCAGAACAAAAGGAGATATTCATCAAACATCTAACAGTTAAGAAAAAGAGTTTTAATCAGCCCTAGTAGAGAAAGGATATTCAGCCAGAATATAGCATTGATTCAGTTTAGGATGTAATTTGCCAGCCTCTTTGTTGTTCGTCCTGATCTGTCAGTAAGACTGAGGAAGAAGCTCTCAACTCCTCATTCACTGGTTTTGTGGGCTTAAGTCATTGGGAAGCTGAAACAATATCCAGAGCCCTGGTCCCCTGGGCCAATTAAGTCTCAAGGATAATTTCAATATTTTTAAAAGGAAAAACCAGCCTAGTCTATATGAAAGATGTTGCTCCTTTGTTGTTGTTCAGTTGTTTCAGTCTTGTCTGACTTTGTGACCCCATTTGGGGTTTTCTTGGCAGAGATATGGGAGTGATTTGCCATTTCCTTCTCTAGCTCATTTGACAGATGAGGAAACTGAGGCCAAAAGGGTTAAGCAACTTACCCTTGGTCACACTGCTAGTAAGTGCCTGAGGCTGGATTTGAACTCACAAAGATGAGTTTTCCTGACTCCAGGCCTGGTGCTCTGTGCCCTATGGTGCCACCTCGCTGCCTACTACCTGCCAAAAACACACCCCTCTTCTTCCAGCCACTAAGGTTCACATCTTTGGTAACAAACTCAACATGTCACTCCCATTTGGTCCACATATCCAGTCACTCGTCAAATCTTCTTGCTTCTATCTCCACAGCATTCCTTGAATGTCTACTCCACTCTGATGTGGCCGCTGTCCTAATTCACACATTCATCACTTCTCATCTGGACTATTGCAAAAACCTAAGCAGTCCCACTACGTCCAGTCTTGTCCCCTCCTCCACCACTGCCAAAGTGATTTTCCTAAAGGACAGTTCTGACCATGTCATCCTCTTAGTCCATCAATAAACGTGTATTAGGTGCCTCCTACGTGCCAAACATTGTGAAAAGCTCTGAGGATACAAAGAAAGCCAAAAAACATGGTCCCTACTTACTAGCTGTGTGACCCTGGGCAAGTCACTTAACCCCAATTGCCTTTAAAAAAAAAAAGGTCCCTGCCTTCAAAGAGCTTACGTTCTATTGGAGGGACAATGTACAACCAACTGTGTACAAGATGTAGACAAGATAAATCAAGTGTCATCACAAAGAGAAGGCACTAAGATTAAAGAAGTCTGAGGAAGCCTCAATAAACTCGTGCTGCTCCCTACAGACTCTAGCATAAACTATTGTTTCATCTCGATCTCATCCTTTTTAAAGTTCTAGTTTTGTGAAAGTTTTATGATGGACATAAATATTCATACAGTCAGGACACAAGCATACAACTTACAAAGAAGTTAGTATATACATATCAGAATCATGCTTTAAAATTGTTTACTGGTAGGAGTACACAATGAAAAGAAAATAATTTGGAGACCATTGAGATAAGAAACATTAAGCCTAGCCTTTTCATCTTTGTAAGGCAGCTCTCCAACAAGGTGTCACCCAAGCAAAGATTCCTTGATAGCAGCAAGTACAGAGATAACGATGTTTAATGATCTCTAATTATCGACACCAGGTTGGCACGGAACAGGGAAACAAGTTCACCAAGGTCATGGCCACTGTCACGGGGATGATTGAGGGCCTCTGGCGGCTTCTGCTTGCAGATGACCTTGTACTGACTGCATCCAGTCCCTGATCCCCTCCAGGGTCTTTTCAATGACATCCATGGCCATTCAAAAGCAAATGGACTGGCAATCCACACTGGGGAAAAACAAGAAGGTGAAGAATGTATACTGCCCCAATTAGGAAAACTGCCTAATATGCAGATGAAGAAACTGAAACCTGTGGGGTAAAGTACCTTGCAAGGGTGTGCCCAAAGGGCTATAAAAATGTGCGTACCCTTTGATCCAGCAATACCACTTCTAGGGCTGTATCCCAAAGAGATTATAAAAACAGGAAAAGGACCCACATGTACAAAAATATTTATAGCAGCTCTTTTTGTGGTGGCAAAGAATTAGAAATTGAGGGGATATCCATCAGTTGGGGAATGGCTGAACAAGTTGTGGTATATGAGTATAATGGAATACTATTGTGCTATAAGAAATGATGAACAGGCAGACTTCAGAAAAACCTGGAAAGACTTGTATGGTCTGATGCTGAGTGAAGTGAGCAGAACCAGGAGAACATAGTACCCAGTAACAGCCACATTGTGCAATAGCTAATACTGATAGACTTTAACCCTTCTCAGCAATACAAGGATTTAAGACATCTCCAAAGGCCTCATGATGGAAAATGCTATCCACATCCAAAGAAAGAACTATGGAGTTCAAATGCAGATCAAAGCATACTATTTGCTATTTTTTTTCCCTTCTGTTGTGTTTTATTTCCTCTTTCTGGTGGTTCCTCCTATTGATTCTAATTCTTCCTTACAACATCACTAATGTGAAAATATGTTTAATAGGAATGTATATGTATAGCCTATATCAGATTGTGTACCATCTTGGGGACGGAGGTGGGAAGGGAGGGGGAGAAAAAATTAAAAACTCAAAAGTTTATGGAAGTGATTGTTGATAAATCAAAATAAATTAATTGAAATAAAAAAAATTTTTAAAAAAAGAATAAGGATCCCAACTCAAGCCTGGTCAAGACCAAGTCCAGGGCTCTTTCTATTACACTATCCTCCTTTCCTTCAGGCTAGGCCTTCCAAAAACTTCCACTTCAAGCTTGTTTAAGCGAAGGTCAGAAAAGTGACTGGATAACAACAGCAATAGAAATCATAAGGAAAAAAAAAACAAGTTTTTTCCAAAACTTTTTTTTTGGAGGCAATTTGGGTTAAGTGACTTGCCCAGGGTCACACGGGTAGTGTCTGAGGCCATATTTGAACTCCAGTTCTCCTGACTCCAGGACCCATGCTCTATCCACTGCACCATCTAGCTACTCCTATTCCAAAGCCTTAAAAAATATTTTCAGCCCCCCAAAATTAAAAAACAACAGCAGCAACACACAGGTAAAGAATTGGGTTCTGTTTTGGGGGGTTTTTTAGAGACAGACTACATCTTTACATTTATTAAATGTGATCATTTTAGGATACACAGTCCATTTTTATGTTTCTCAACTAAATGATATTAGATCCATAAAAGAAAATAAAATCTATATTGCACATATTTCTATTTTCAAAAAAAAATAGGGAGTTTTTTAATTCTCAATATTCCGATGGACCTGTGAACTCATCCCTGTGGATTCTTTCTCCATTACTCAAGAACACAGCCTATCCAAATCTTTTCCTCTTAGGGGTCTGTTATCTACACTCTCAAGGCCCACCCCATATTTAAGGTAAGAAAGCTCTCAAGATCCCCTGGCATTTTACAGATGCTGATGGACCATGAAAACTCTCTATTTGTTATCATTCTCTACATGCCCAACCTACCTCCTCTCCCACTCCATGTCTCTTCCTCCCCACTGGTAAAATCCCAAAGCATATTTGCACCACCACCACTCCCATTGCCTTCTGGGTGAATTGAAACTTTTGATTCCTCAGAGATTTTGTTTTTCCATAGATCACAGACCTCCCCCTAGCAATATTGTTCAACAATAATATTGGCGTTTTAAAAATGGGCCTCTATTTCAGGGAAAAGCCTGGGGTCAAATACCGCATAATTCACTATGTATATTGAAGCCTGTTCCTTTCTCCTATTCAGTTCTGGGCCCAGTTCAATTTCCCAGGAGCAGTGTCAGTCCAAGATATATGTACTAAGTTGGACCAGTTCTTTAGATCACACATCCATCTGCATGAGAATATGTAGTTTGGGAGATAATCATTCTTCATCCACTTGGTTTTTCCTGTTTGAATGGTTAGGCCAGACTCTTTTGAGTGACTGATCTCATTTAGGAGGCTCTGCAACGTTCTGGAGCTTGATGGCAATCAGTACATTTGTGCTGATTTATAAACCATACCTTGGGGAATGGGGGAGGTGAGGCACTTCATCATCGATACAAATTTTCATGTCCATTGGG